TGCGCTCAGGACTTCGTGTTCCCTCTGGGCCACCCCAAAGGAAGTGGGGAACACCAGGCCCAGCACAGGGGCCACTCCAGGAGGAGGTTGAGTTCATCCCAAAGTTGCCCACCCCCAAACTAAGCACGAAGATTCTGATGATCTAGGGTGTTCCTCGATATGCATGCTGCAACCCAGTCTCAGAGCCCCCCAGGTTCTGTCATCACAGATCTCCAGTCCAGCCACAGCTCTCAGAGCAGAGAGCCTGTGGCCCACCGAGGACCAGAAATGATGTGGACCTTGCCCTGCCCCAATTCCAAGACTGCAGGCAGGCAGCACAGGCTTCGTGCCCACCTGGGGAATGGAGGTGGGGTGTCGGAACGCAGGTGGCCACACCCTCAAGGGGCCAGCAAAGCTCCCTGAGCTTGGCAGCCCCAGGACTCTGGGGCCTGCCCCCGCAAGCTCTCAAACTCAGGAAACCTGATGGACGGGTCTGGCATGTCCTTGAGTCCTCAAATCTAGGAGCCACCCTAGAGGGGACAGCAGTTGCTGCCGCTGGTGGGGAGCAGGCCAGGGAAGGAGAGCCAGGCAGGAAAGGGGTCCAGACAGAATCCCAGGTCATTGCTGTGGCTGCTTCAGGCCCCAGACCATCCCAACTTCAACCCCAGGCTCATGCTGCCAAGGAGAGCCCCACCCCCAAAAGAGGAAAGCTGTGCTTCTCCTCTGTGTGGATGGACACAGCACCCTGAAATGCGACACCCTGGGAGACCCAGCCTTGGACCCACTGACCATGGGTCCCTGGGAGACTCCTATCTCAGGACCCCTGGCTATGGCCAGCCCCAGGCAGCTCAGGGTACTCCCCAGTGTCCCTGGAAGAGTCTTAAGTTCTAGACCCCAGAGATTCTGCCCAGTGCAGCCTCAGGACACACTCAAGCCATGTGGGGCAGTTTACTGAGGTTTTAGTGTTGGGGTAGGGAGACATCACACACACACATGTGGGGAAGGATACCTCCCACAGGTAAGCATGTACTCACACGGGTTCTGTGCACCTCCTGTCTCCAAAAAGGAGCTGTGGCCTTTGGGGCCTAGTGAGTTCTGAGCTGGCCATGTCCCGTGCTTCTCTGAGGGTCTTGGCAGATTTGACAAGGACTAGGGCGAGAGTCTTCAGCCTTTCCCTGCCCCCTGTGGCAGAAATCCTAGGGCTCTGAGATGTCCTGTCTCAGACCCAGGGTACCGGGGCTTCCCACCGCATGGGGGAAGGAGTCCTCTACGACCACAGACTCTTCTTCTGTCGTCCAGGCTGGGCTGGCCTTGGCTGCCTTCGCTCATCAGAATCCAGGGCTGGGCTGGCAGTGGATGTCCAGTCTGGGGCAAGAGCTGCTACCTCCAGGAGTTCTGCCTCATGGGGACAACTGTGGGGAGGACACAGGCTGAGAGGGCTGAGAGGGCCACAGGAGGGCCTCATCCCACCCAGAGATAGGGGGACAGACATACTCTCTGGGCTCAGACTGGACACTAGGGCAGGACTCCGGGGGGGTCCTGTGAGGGGCTCTTCTCTGGCTGGAGGCAGAAGATCCTGTGGGGAGAGCATGTCAGCTTGGAGCTGGGCCAGGCTCCCCACCGACCTGGCCTCCCTCCAGTACTGCTCTGACCTGCATGCTGAGGGGACCCCCTTCCGGCCGTGGGGGCGGTGGCAGTGCAGCCCCTGTCTGCTGGATGAACTGCTGCAGGTCACACTGACGGAGCTCCCGGTTCAGCTCCTCCAGTTCCTGGGCCTGGGCCTGGGGCATATGGGACCCTCAGGGGCTTGCCCAGGGAGCTCCACAGCCTTGTGCCCTCCCACATCCCCCAGAGAGTGACATCCAAGTCCAGCCATGTGTCAGGGAAACTGGCAGGGGTGTGGGGTCCAGTGGGCTCACCTGTAGCGCATGCTCGGCGGCCTCCAGTGCCCGGCCCACCAGGACAAGGCTGCCCTGCACCTCCACTCTCTGCCGCTCCTGGGCTGCTAGGTTCTGACGCAGGCGTTCCGTGGCAGACACCGTGGGTGAGGGGGGCCCAGGGGTCTCTGCCACCAGTTGCAACTCAGCCTCCAGGGCGCGGGCCTGGGCGTCCAGGGCCTGCAGGCGGGCGGCGTGCTCGGCGGTGGCTACACTCAGCGCCTGCAGGCGTGCCTGCCCCTCACGCTCGCGGGCTTGCTCACGCCGCAGCTCCTGCTCCCAGAAGGCCTCCTGGCCCAGCTCCGCTGCATTCCTCCGCACCCTTTGCTCCAAGCCCTGTAGATCTGTGCAGCAGCCTGGCAATGATGCTACGGGGGCCACAGGCTCGGGTGCCACAGGGCCGGGGGCCAGGCCAGGGCACCCCAGGCTGAAGGTCAGCGCTTTGCGTGGTTCACGGTCCAGTGCTGGTCGAGGTTTCGGGGGGAGACTGGCTCGGATTGGGCAGCGCTCAGGGGGCGGGCAGTTGTCTGAGGAGGGCCTCCCAGCAAGGCTGGGCCCTGTGCGTCTCAGGACAAACTGGACATCGCTGGCAAACTGTCCACAGGTAGCCTGGGCACCCACTGGGCACTCCTGGGGTAGCAGCTGCCGTTCCTTCTCTCTGAGGCGCTGCACCAGCACAAAGCGGCCTGTCTGGCCTAGGGTAGGGGGAGGAGTCAGTCAGCCCATATCCCCTACCCTCTGTCCACCTGGCTTGAGCAGCTGGGGTCGGGGGGCAAGAGGGATGAGCGCCAGCCCCAGCCTCCTTGGGGGAAGAAGGGCCAGAGGGTCAGGCCCCACCCCCAGTGCACCTGCTGGGCCCATCTGGGACTCAGGGCCTCACCTATTGCTTGGGCTAGCGCGATGACCACTTCCTGGCAGGTGGTCTGCTCTGAAACTCCACAGACCACGCGCTGGATGCCGTCCACCCACACCTTCAGCTCCATGGCTGCCAGCCCTGAGAGCATCCCTGTCCTGCAGGGAGGGCGAAGGCCACAGGGTCAGGCCCCGCCTGGCCCCAACACAGCCAGGCTCCTCTCTTCCTCTTCCAGGACTGCTTCTCACCCCCAGAACTGGCTCAGGATTGCTGCCCCTCAGCGTCTGGCGCCCAGCCCCACCAGCAGGCCGCACATTCCTGGGGGTGGGGTAGCAAAGACCCGCGCGTCCCCCAAAAGCGGCGAAGCAGTGTGCCCTCGCGCAGGGCTCAGAGGCTTCCCTACTCCCAAGCCTGCTCTCGCCCCGCCCCACTCCCGGAACAGGGCGAGTTATTAACCAGACCTGGTCACCTGGCTC